TATATATATATATATATATATATAAATGTATGTTTTATGGATGAAAATATCAGAACTTTATATCTTTGTATTGTTTGGTTATCTTGTGTTGACGGTCAAGAGGAACAATTTCTTCAAACCAATCCGTCTTGTTATAGTATGCGAATAATCGAACAATCTGATCATGATATTGTCCTCAAAGTAATGTAATGTACATCTTAAAAAGCCGAGAAGCACTGCGAAGCTACTGAGGGTCGTCAGTGATGCGTGACCCACCTAAAGTTTTCGGCCGCTCGTGGCCGACCGGTTGACTGTTCAACTGCTAGCCGGTGGGTTCTTAGGTCCCTGGAGTTTTGCTGCTAATTCCTAATAAGTATGAGTCAGTTATGGACTGCTTCTCGATAACCTCTTGACTGAAATCACCTTGAATTCCCCACGGAACTGTTTCGATATTGTTCGACGAACAAGCAAGCCCGTAACTCATTAAGGTAACAAGGGCACTGAACATCACAGTGCCTTACTTTACTTCCTAACGTCTCAGTTCTACCCATTTCGAACCAATGGCAAACACTCCAGGTTTCCAACCATGTTGCCAAAAGGTTTTCCAAACTGGGAATCAAATATAAAGTGATAACACAAACTAACAGTGAAGCACGGTTCAATAACTTTATCCATCTCTCTCACTGCTGATAGGTTGGAGACCTTGCGAGACACCGTGGAGGGAATTACACAGGTACACATGAATAATGTCCGTCAAGTGCTCCGAGACACGCGACAGAATCTGGAGACGCTGACAAGGACCTTGAACGCTTCCAACTTAAACCTGATTGGCAAACTACGGTAGGTTTTAACTCCTAGCAATTCTTCTGTCCTTGTGGTTGTTGGGAAAGCAGTTTAATCTGTCTTATTTATTTGAAAGTGTTACTTAATTTGTGCTTCGAGTCGAATTGAGGCCAGACCGGAAAACCGGCAAATACATCTTAGTTTTCGATCACCACGAAATCCAACCACCGGTTGAGCCGAGAATGGATAATAAGAAAGTATGGACTTCCGCAAGACTGCTATGTTCTAAAGCAACACAGGAAAACATCCTACGAGGAAGTACATCGCATTTTGAAATGTGTTTGAGCCCTCTTGGGCTTGTTGCTAATAAGCTTTAGTCAAGAAGAGGCTTTTTTGGAGTCCCACGAACCCGAAAGACCTACTTGTAGAGAAACATTTTACTCCAATGTCTCTCGGCATTTATTCCAACTTGTATGCTTGTTGGTTGTAGGGTTCCGGTTTCGATAATGAATTACAAACGAAAAATGTGACTGAATACTAATCACACTGGAAATTGGCCCATTTTCCAATTTATTCACATGTGGGCATATTTGCCTGACTTATCACCAACTGCACCGAACTTCTCTGTACTTTTGTGTTTATGCGAGGTTCTGACTCGACGGTTTCTTAGCTTGGCCATTGCTAGTGATGAGCTCTCTACTTACTAATGTGGGTCCAAAAGAAACTCTGTCTTTCTTGGTTTGAAGGTTGAAAATTTCGGGCAACATTACGCTAAAGCCAAAGAAGACGTAATTCTTTTTCGAAACAAGAACATCGACCGTGTGGGTTGCAGATATTGCTGACGTCCTCAGCCGGGCCAGTTGCCAGGCAACTAGAGGTTGTGATGAACAGAATACGAGAAGTGACCTGTTCTGCCTGAGGATGATAACCTACTCGATATGAAACGATTAGTTCACCAATACGGGATTTTGTGAACTAGTTGTGGTTCCAGAACATTCTAATGTTAATTGAGGCCAGACCGGAAAACCGGCAAATACATCTTAGTTTTCGATCACCACGAAATCCAACCACCGGTTGAGCCGAGAATGGATAATAAGAAAGTATGGACTTCCGCAAGACTGCTGTGTTCTAAAGCAACACAGGAAAACATCCTACTAGGAAGTACATCGCATTTTGAAATGTGTTTGAGCCCTCTTGGGCTTGTTGCTAATAAGCTTTAGTCAAGAAGAGGCTTTTTTGGAGTCGGATAACGGAAGTTTAGACCAGTACCCCGAACCCGAAAGACCTACTTGCAGAGAAACATTTTACTCCAATGTCTCTTGACATTTATTCCAACTTGTATGCTTGTTGCTTGTAGGGTTCCGGTTTCGATAATGAATTACAAACGAAAAAGGTGACTGAATACTAATCACACTGGAAATGGATCCATTTTCCAAGTTATCCACATGTGGGCGTATTTGCCTGACTTATCACCAACTGGACCGAACTTCTCTGTACTTTTGTGTTTATGCGAGGTTCTGACTCGACGGTTTCTTAGCTTGGCCATTGCTAGTGATGAGCTCTCTACTTACTAATGTGGGTCCAAAAGAAACTACCTCTTTCTTGGTTTGAAGGTTGAAAATTTCGGGCAACATTACGCTAAAGCCAAAGAAGACGTAATTCTTTTCACATCGACCGTATGGGTAGCAGATATTGCTGACGTCCACAGCCGGTCCAGTTGCCAGGCAACCAGAGGTTATGATGAACAGAATCCGAGAAGTGACCGGTTCTCCCTGAGGATGATAACCTACTCGAGATGAAACGATTAGTTCACCAATACGGGAGTTTCTTTGAACTAGTTGTGGTTCCAGAACATTCTAATGTTCTCCAGAGGGAAGGAAACTACACACTTATAAGAGTGAGGCGCAGAAGGATACCAAGGTAGTCTCAGTACTTGGCAGCAGATATAGAAACTTGGATATGAGGACCAACAGGATATTCCGCTATGCCCGTGTCACAAAAAATGGTATATTTTGTGGATGGCGAAAAAGTTTAGTCGCAAAATTCCATACTCATCAGTTGCTAGTTTGCATGCTGTAAATCTACCCCAAATGTGACGTCGGCCGTCGAACAATCAGGTGAAAAGGCTGCCTGTCAAAACCGTAGGCTCTGACAAAATCAATTTTAGAATGTCTAAGCAAAGCTACCACTCACTCAGAACTGCATCAATTTTCCACGTGGTTGTCAGTTTTTTTGATCAATCATAATAAGCAAGGATTGGTGGCTCGTTCGTGTTTCTGGCTCATCTTCCTCTGTACCGCCAGTTGGATGAAACATCT